GCGTTAAGTACAAGCATAATGATAAGAATTTTAATGACAAAGCAGAGTGGTTACACTGTCTCAGAACTTGGAAGATCCTGTTAGAAATCGCAGAATGCCAGAACCAAATAACGCTGCAACCTGACTCCACTTGCACACCCCCACCCTTCTCCCACCCCAATGGCACACAAGGGGCGGGCTCACTGTCTGACACTCACGACTACCTTCTGAATTTGTGAAAAGACGCAAGGAGTAAAATGTTTGAATCCAAAGACACCACATCTTTAAGAGGCCACAAAAAAGTAGAAACTGTAGATCCAAGAAAAATTTTCCTTGGGTTTAAGAGTGAAAAAACCAGACATGTTCAAACACATCTTGGAACCTTCTGTTTTTTAAATAAACACTTTGCAGCCTTCACAGTCTGTTCGCTCTACAGAGGATGTGTGATAACAGCCATCGTTTACACAGTAACTAATGGTTTTACGTTAATTATTGCATTTCAACCTCACAATGCTGAGAGTTTGGTAAGGCAGGTAACCTTTTCCCACAGAGGTCGACTAAGCACGGGAGAAGTTGAGAGGCCTGCTGGGGGCTAAGCTAGCCACAGAGCATCAGTTTGGGGGTCTCAAGTCTACACCTGTGCGCCTCTGAGCAGAGTCTGGGACAGCTCCGCATATGTGCCGACTGAAGGGCACAAACTGCCCTTCATCTGAACTTCTCCCTGTCTTTAGCGACCGCAGACTAAGGAGAAGCTGCCAGCCCTTTTGCAGACGTGGAGAGCTAGGCAGGAACGTGGATGGCGGCATGGAGGTCCGGACCCAAGGCGGGCGGAGCGGGGATGCCCGGATAGGAGTGATCCTGGCCGTTTTAGGAAGGCCCCAGAGACAGACCCAGAGGGCCAGGCGGAAGGTAGACGGGCTCCAGCCCCGAAGTGGCCCTGCGAGGTAGACACGCCCCAGGGAGTGGGAGTGATCCCCGCCTGGGTCTAGAAAAGGACTCAGAGAAGCCCGCGGGCGGGCGGGCTCCAGCCCCGAGGCGGCTCGGCACGGCCGATCCCCTCCCTGACCGCTGGGCCCTGATCCTCACCTGCCACTCGCCCACGGGGGCTGGGAAAAGTGGTCACCCGCAGCCGTGACCAGGGTCCGGGAAGGGGACGCAAGCCTGACAGCAGGGAGAGGACCCTGGACTCCTTAAGGGCTGTGCACCTGCGCGAACCGCTTTGCCGAGCGCCCACTTCCGCGCATGCCCAGCGTAGGAACAGCCCTTGCCGGAAGCGTAGTGTGTTTCCGGATAGTCTGCGGTGGGAGGAGCCTGGAGCCCGAGGTGTGAGCGCGGAGGAGGGGCGAAGAGTTCGGTTTGGGTGGGGGATTACCCTGCCTCTAGCTTCACTATGACTCAGTGGCTACAGGCAAACCTGTGGCAGAGGGTGTAGGTGGAAGACAGACGCCTAGGCTATTTTCATTGGCCAATGCATGCTAGAAATCAGTATATCTAGGAATTTGTGTTCATCTGTATTTTCTACGTTTCCTACCAAGCCCCTGTAATATTTGTATAATGACATTGATGATAAAGATAGCGGTAGTAATAATATCAATGACAGATGGCTGGATTTAATCCAGAAGTGTGAAGAAGACCCTGTATTTTCTGAGCTGAGAAATTTTGGCAAATGCAGCAGTTGAGTAGGATTCTTAGGAGTGAACTTCTTATCTCTAAGTCTCTTCACTAATTGAATAGATATTCAGCACACCTCAACTCTATGCCATGCAAGGTGCTGGGCACTGGGTGTGTAGAGGAAAATAAAAACCTCAAGATCCCCCAAACTTATGCAAAAAGGAAGGTCAACCCTGGAGGTTGAGTCATTCAATGCCAGCTTTCTAATGAATAACTATTAAATAGCTGTTGCTAACATTATGCAGCCCCACACAAAGGTCAGATGCTACAGACTTCTATGAAAGACTGCCCCCACACATTATTCATAAGCAAATTCTTCATTGGATTTCCATAAACAAGGACACATCAATTGTAACTTTAGGTCTGCAGTCCAGCTTTATCTTCCCAGGTGCAGAACAGAGACAAGATAAGATTAGATCAATCAATCTTCCACTTATCTAGAGATGTCTGCATAATTGATTTTTCCTTTACTCTCTTTTTCTCCTCACCTTATTTTATATAAAATATAGATTTCCTGGGCACTAACTAAAGTCTCACAAGAATGTAACCTTTGGTCTTACCACCTTTTGGCCCCTCTTCCCATATCCCTTCCTCTGCTTTGAGGAAATGTATAAATACTAAACTTCTTGAAAAACCTCTTCAGAACAATAGCCATAGCTGGTTTAACAAATCTTGATTGAGATCCTTGCCTCAGTCCCCCACTTTGGGTGTCAGGTACAACTAAGCAAACCAGACTTAGCCATTGCTGTCATGGGAATCAACTGAGGGTGGAAGGGAAAGCTAAATTATCACAAGAAAGGATGAAAGGCGTGTGATCCTGGAAATCCTAGTCGAAGCAGAGATGGGGGTTTGGCTATGATGCGATTATTGTGGACTCCATGCATGGTCAGTCTTGTCTTTCAAGGGCACTGCCCAACATCAAGAGAGGCACTTTGGGCCCATTGGGCAAGAGACGCAATCGCTCCTTCAAGCCTTCAGTACTTGATAACCTCTGGGGTCTTCTATTCCGTTCCATTCTCAGGCAAAAGCTGGTCCAGTACCGTCAGTAGCGCGGTGCCAGCTTTCTCGCATTACCCGGCTCTGGGTAGTGCACCCTTTGCCGCACACAGTGCTGGTGACTGCGGAAACACATTAGGCATGGCCTCTGAGTTGGGGATCCCAGGCCGAGCCTAAAGGGGTCTGACAGTTCAGATGAGCACCCTCGTCGCGGACTACCGCGCAATTGCATCGCGCTACTCAATTCTGCAGCGTCTCATTTGCAAAACCAAGTCTAACAGCTTATTCATACGTTAAAGCGAAGATTTTTACGATACTGTAAAGCGTGGGCCCAGCGCTCGGGAAAGCCATGTAATAGTGCAAATGACAAAACAAAGAAGTGTCTCGGCGCCAGCGCCAGCGATTCTCTATAGGGTAAAACCCAGGAGGAGACAGGGGAGCGGCCTTCACCTGGGAGCTGAGACCAGAGCCCTCTGCCCTCGCCGGCCCTCGAAGCTCCGCCTCCGCAGCCTCTGCGCCCCGCCCACCACCCGGGAGCAGGAGTGACTGAGAACCCGGATGGGAGCTCGACTCGACCAGGCGCAAGGGCCTTGCGCCGCTGCTATTCGCGCAGGAGCGTATTGATGACGCATCCAAAGACAGGAAGTGGTTCCTACGGAAGCTGTTAAAGTCCAAAAACGTTTCAGTTTGGAGTCGTTTGCTGCCTGGAGGGAATGAATGGGCGCTAGGAGCACTCCTGCGCGGGGCTGATGTGCTAGCACTATCGAGAGCCTCAGCGTGTGAGCGGCCGGGGTCGCGCCGCCTTCCCGCAGCATGGAGGATGACGCGCCGGTCATCTACGGGCTGGAGTTCCAGGTGGGTCACTAGGAGGGCGCAGTGCTGTTCGGCCTGGCTGCTTGACCCAGCAGTGACTTAACTTTGCAGACCACCTCCCGCCAGCCCTGCGGGGACTCATCTTACTGAGAAGGAATCTGAAGCTTCAGGAGGCCCAATGGTTGCACAGCCAGCACTGACTGTAGGCCCTTCCGCTGGGTCCGGTGGACAGCAGTGTTGGCACAACCGTCCTCTTTCCACCTCCCAAGCTATTGAACATTGCTCGCCTGGGAGTTACCGCTTGCTCGCTGTAAACTTATTTGTTTACAGGTCCCTCTTTTCCTCTAAAATTTGAGTTCCTGAAGACAGGAACTGCGTGTAAATTGAAAAAATTTGTTTAATTCTGAAACAAGATACACAGAAGAGTTGCAAAGGTGCACCGACAGTTCTTGCATACCCTTCACCCAGCTTCCCCTGATGTAACATCTTACGTAATTATGGTACATTTATCAAAGCCTAGACATTAAGCTTAGTACGATTAAGTAAGCCAAAGACTTTTGTTTGGATTCAAAAGTTTTTCTACTGGTATCCTATCTTTTTATCATCCTGTGTTCTCCAGTCCCTATTCACTGTGATTAGCACGTAGTAGGTGCTCAACGAATGATTAGGAACTGAATGAACTCCCATAACACGAACAATTGCATTTGGCAGTTTAGGACAACGAGAAAGCTGATATGTGTAGAGTGAATGAGTGGTAGGAATCATGTAGGAGATGGGAGGGTGGGTAGCGGAGGACTGTGTAGGGCTTATGAGAGCCATATACTAGTTTTCATCCATTCACGTAGTTTTTCAGAACCTGTTATGCTTAAGGCACTGACGGACAGATGCAAAGAGATAAAAAAACACAGTTCATTCCAATGGAAAGAACCTGATACATGATCGTATGCAGCAATATTTGTTACAGATGTCTGCTTTCAAGTAGGTTACCATGAGAAAGGCAGCAGTGTTAGTTACTAAAAGCATGCACGCCATTCTGACTAATAAAATTTAAATCCTGGCCCCAGCACTTACTATGTAATCATAAGCCTCAGTTTCCTTGCCAATAATACGGAAAAATAAGCATCTGACCCCATCCCCTTGGCTGTTACAAAAATTCAATGAGTTAATATTTTTAATCATCACTTAGAACAATGCCTGGCACCATACTATTGTGTTCATCTTGTTCTAATTATGATAATCAGACAGAATTTGTACACATAGAAAGCAGTAACTGTCATATGAGTAATGAACTGTGTATTTCCATGCACTGTACCCGTGGTGGTTATCTTGCCATATTTTCTGTGATCTCCACTTTGAATTTTTAAAATTGATGCATAATCGATGCACTTTTTAAAATTGATGCATAATAGATGTATAAAGTTTTAGGGTATATGTGATAACTTAAGATATTCATATAATTGGTAACAATGAAATCAGTATACTTGGGTTATCCATCACTTTGTCTTTTCTTTATGCTTGAGACATTCAAATTATTTCTTCTGGCTATTTTGAACAATACAATAGAGTATTGTAAACTATAATCACCTTACTGATCTGTAGAACATCACATCGTGTTTCTTCTATTTGTGTATTTATACTCATTAATCAACTTCTCTTCATTTCCCCCTTAACCCCACCCTTTCTCGCCTCGGGTGACCACCAATCTAATTTCTATCTCCATCAGATCCACTTTGCTGAGATTGTTTCATTTAGCATAATGACCTCCAGTTCCACCCACGTTGCTGCTAACGATAGGATTTCATTTTTTAGATAGTAATATTCAATTGTGTATATATAGCTTACTTTCTTTGTCCATCCATTGGTTGATGAGCACTTGGTTGATTTGGTATTTTGGCTACTGGGAAATCATGCTGCAGTAAACATGGGGCTGCAGGCACATCTTCAATGTACTGATTTCCTTTCCTTTGGAGATATATATACATTACTATATCATATATATATATATATATCTCCAGCCGTGATATTCCTGGGTCAACTGGTAGTTCTACTTTTAATTTTTTGAGGAGGTTCCATACAGTTCTACATAGTAGCTGTGGTAATTTACATTCTTGCCAGGAGTGAACGAGGGCTCCCCTTTCTCCACATCGTCTCCGGCATTTGTTATTGGCCTGACTTTCTGATAAAAGCCATTTTAACTTTAGAGAGATGTTTGCTCCATTAATTTTTGTGAATTGATGTTGGTTTGTCTGATCACAATTTTTAGCTATTTTGTGGTAGCGTTTCTGGTTTGTATCTTTTGTATCTGGTTTTTATCTTCTGAGCCTGTCTCTGTTTTTCTTCTCTCTTTCCTTCTCCATGTGGTTGGTACCTTTGCCTAACACCAGTGCTAGTTCCTTTTGACCATTGGTCTTCTAATGGCGAGTCCTTTCTGGTCAAGCTCCCTCCCTTCCTGGTCAGGCTCTGTCCATGGTGTTGGACCAGAACCCATCCCAGGCTGGCAGGAATGCTGTGGCACTGGCTGTGTTTGTGAGTAAATTCCTTTAGAGGTCATCCTTTATAAGCCAAGGGAAGCTGGCCAGTGTAGGTGGCCTGCAGTGCAGCACCTCTGTCCTGGACTCTGCTTCCTGGGGAGGTCTCAGTGGCCCTGTGTCCCTGCTTTACTCCCACC